TGTATGTATGTATGTATGTATGTATGTATGTATGTATGTATGTATGTATGTATGTGTATGTGTATGTGTGTTATTTCTTACACAGGGAAACTGAGAAAAATGATAGGGTTAGTATACATTATATCCCTTCTGTTTTCCATTTCTTCTTTTTCCTTTTCTTTTCCTGCTCCCCGGCCCCTTCATTCCCTCATCTATTTCTTGCACATCTTCCCTTTCCTCCTCTTCCTCCTCCTCCTCCTCCTTCTCCTCCGCCTCATACTCTCCATCCCTGTCTTCCACCTGTTCGTCTTCTAATCACCCTCTTGTTCTATTTCACCTATTAGCAAACACAAGCACAACAACCTCCTCCTCCTCCTTCGCTTCCTCTTCTCCCTTCTCCTCCTCCTCCTCCTCCATTACGAAGTTCTATCTGCTCAGTGCCTAGTTTTGAGAAATGTTTCGTAAAAGATTTTGAGTTTCACAAAATACCAACATTTTTCGAATGAAATTCTTTGAATATCTTGAAAACGACTGTGGATAATCTTGCAATTTAGATAAAGCAGACATAATATTTGGTTTCTGACCTCATGGTCTTAGTAATTGAAAATGGCCAAAAATATCAGATAGATCGTCTGAATGAGCCACTTTTAGATGCACTGTTTTTGGGGCATAATTTAATTATTTTATTTAAACACATTTTTCAGTTGTTTTCTTTTATTTGTAACTCTAAAAGACATTCAGCAACATGTTTACTCTGAAATGTGCAAACTCATGCCTCAGCTTTGTGCATGATGGTTCAAAGTATGCCAATACATTGCCTTCGCTCAGCTTCTGATCGGATATTATTGTGGGTGGTTGGCGGGTGCTCTGAAGTGGTTTCCTTTTTTCCCTATCAAACGTATATCGTCATTATCACCCACTCCTTTTTGTGTTTGTAACTCTCTTGTAATCACTCTAATCTTCGGCACTGATATGCCCTTATTGTGTTGTAAGTATCTTAAAACACTTACTAAGACTAAAGGGGCGTTAAACCTATACAATTTCACCATTTTTTTTAAAGACTGAAGGATATTGTTATTTCTCTGCGTCCGCTTCGTTCTTAAAGAGTTAATGCTAGGTCCTGAGAGAGACCCAATGAACCCCAGGGCCACCGACATCCTCTTCCATCATACATTCCCTCCTCGCCCACGCCTGTTGTAACCAGCTGTGACATTAACATTGATGAACCCTTAATTAACGGGCGAAATGTATACTTTCTTGCAGTTTCAGATTCTGGAGTATTGAAAAACTAATAATTAGACGCGCGCGCGCGCGCGCACACACACATACACACACACAC